AAAAAAAAAAAAAAAAACTACTTCAGTTTCTTGCCTATTGGTTTCATATATATTTCTCAGAGTTAGGTCAATCATTATTGTTTTATAAACCTTTGTTAAGCGTTTTTTTTTTTTAATGTTGGGGGTGGAACTCTAACTCTACTCCTATTAAAACCAGCATGAGAAGTTCTTTATAAGGAAAATGTGGTCACTAGAACATGAGAACATTCTCATGAACCTTTGTTATGTTAATAAGCCTTTTTAAATAAATTAATATAAGTTTTAAGATAAGATAGTATTTGTCTTGTTTGGGTGGCGTGGTTGGTTATAACACTTGCTTCACACACTAGAGGTCTACCGTTCGAGCCCGGGTTCATGACACATTCTTTTCTTTTCCAACATCCTGTAATGCTCACCCTTTTCCTCTTCCCAACAGTCCAACTTCCTGTAATGTTCACCCATCGATAGACAGTCAGCCTTTTTTCGCTTTACAATTCACATGTAAACACTTGGAACCATTTGATCTTATGGTAAAAGTTATGTTCATCATCTCCCTCTGTAAATACAGTGTTATCCTGATAAGTTTGATGTCTGAATCAATCACGTACATATATATTATATATGCATGATGCTATGCATATATAGGCATCTGAATTTGGTACGTGATTGTCAAATGAGCTGGAAACTCTTATCTATGACAACATAAAAAGCTGCTTGATGTGGCCTCAATAAGGTCCCAATCTTGACTTTACTTGTTCTTGCTCTCCCCCATTGTTGGAAGGTGTATTCCTCTTTCTTTTCAGTCATGAATCATGACTCCGTCCAAAATAAATTACACACTATTCTTCATTGGGAATATTATTTTGCAGTTTGATTTAGTAAATTGACCATTGATTTTGGGAAAGGAAGACCCTATATTTATGCTCTCTCCTCCATCAATAGTTACAATGGTATAATCTGTATTAATTAAATTGAATTACATAACACTTTTCTTAATTTATTCATATACAATTTAGACTTTTAGATAAAAAATTCACCTCAAGTGATATATATGTTGGAATCTTAACAACCCTCTCTAGTTGTTTCTTAGCTTTATAATTGAATTAATTTTAGATGGATCGGAATATGTAAAAGTAGTAGTTGTGAGTAATGAGAGAATTATTATATACGATTAAATGATTTAAAGGATGGATGCATATTACTTTACCCTTGATGAATTTTCTATACATGATAAATGATCAATACTGTTTTAATTAATATATATAGTTCAACAATGGAACAATTCGCTACAACATTAGCAGGACTCGCGCTAAAATTAGCAGAAATCTTGGCAGAGAAATTGGGTCAACAATCGACTTTCTTCCAAGAAAATTGCTTGGCAAATACTTGCTATCTTCGAATGAACAGATACCCATCATGTCCAGTCCCTGCAGAGGTATTTGGTCTAATGCCGCACACAGATAGTGACTTCCTAACCATATTGCATCAAGATCAGGTTGGAGGATTGCAATTGGTTAAAGAAGGAAAATGGATTGCAGTTAAACCTAAACCAGAAGCCCTGATCGTTAACATTGGCGATTTATTTCAGGTAATGCATGTAACACTATATTTAATGAGGTTTTTAATTTTATGGTTTGAATTGCACTAAACTGCAAAACAGTAATCATGAGGGGCAGCCCTCTGATATCATATATTAAGCTCATATGTGACCCAATAGTAGTTTTTATATTTCCATGTGTGCAGGCATGGAGTAATAATGTCTACAAGAGTGTGAAACACAGAGTGGTGACTAATCCTTGGAGGGAAAGGTTCTCAATTGCATATTTCTTATGTCCTTCATATGAGACAGTAATTCACAGTTGTTGCGAGCCTGCAATTTATAGGAAGTTTACCTTTAGGGAATATAGACAGAAGGTCCGCGAGGATGTTCAGAAATATGGTTACAAAGTAGGACTTCCTAGGTTTCAAATTAATTGCACAGACTGAATATTATTACACAATATATAGTGCTTACATTTGTGATATTAAATAAGGACTACCGTAATTACATTGGGCCTGACTACTGCATCTAAAAAATTACTTTGATTTTTCAATTCAATTGCACTCTCTTATTCTAAGTATATATCGGGCTTAAAAATAAAATTCTGAGCTTCAGATAATGCAACTTGGGTTGGGCCGTAGATTTCCTCCTTTTTTTTTTCTTTTTTTTTTTGGGGGGTAAACGGTCGTAGATTTTCCACAAAGCTGTTCTTCTCAGAAGAACTGATGGAAGTGGATATGGAACAAGGAAAAAAAAAATCCTGGATTGCTCCACCGCGGGTAACCGGATCCTCCAGCCCCGGAGGCCGAGCCTAAGGTGCGTATACCCAAGGCCAGGCCTCAGCTGAACCAATGGTCCTGGGCTCGGGCCCTCCGGTAGGGGGCCACGGAATGGAGCGGCCAAGCAACCGGGGCGTGGCACTTGAAATGAAACTTCCGGCTCAATAAACCAAAGAGATGGACTATTACAAACATGTTGTAGAAGGAATAGACGACGATGGTGGTGCGTATGCGACAGCAGAGAAGTCTATTTACTTGGTTTCTGGTGGAACCAGTTGGACGGCGAAGCATTCCCTTAACGCGGCGTTGGCGCAGTTGGAGCATTGTTTGGTGGACCGAGGGTGCCCTGTTAATACCCATTTCTTCTAAGGGGTATGTATGGTTTCATTGCTGATATAGTTAGCTAAAGTTCTCCGCTTTTTAATTTTCAAGCTCCAGCCTTTATATGCACTAGTATAAAATAGCTTTTAATTAGAAGCCATTACAAATTTACTATCTGGAATGGTTGAATTCTAATGTTTTAGAACTGTATCTTGAAAGTTGAATTAATGGGTAATTCAATTATGTGGGTGAAAATTACTAATCTAATATGAATCAAATATTGATATTTTGGCAATACAATCTGCATGTTTCAAATTGATGCAGAAAAGCTTATGGCTATTATAAAGCAGGTAGCCAAGGAAGGTGCTATAGTTGTCTATACCATAGATGATACTTCCATGGTCCGAGTCTGCCAAGCAGGCTTGCCAATTATGGGTCATACCATCTACTGATATACTGGGGCCAATTGCAGAAGCAATTGCTTCTCATCTTGGTGTCTCACCGTATGGCCTTCCCCGTGTGTTTCCCCTTTCAGAGGATTACTTTTGAAGGATTGAGGCAGTTGAGTTTACAATCAAGCAGGATGATGGGGCACTTCCCCAAAACCTGCACAAGATTGACATTATTCTTGTAGGTGTCCCTCGAACTGGTTAGACACCGTTGTCTATTTACCTGGCTCAGAATTGACAAATGTACCTATCTCTGTGGTAGTGGACTAGAATTTGCTTGCATGATCCACCATTGTCTATTTTGCCTTGCAAAAGACTCTTTTCAGGGTAGATCCAGAGAAGGTTTTTGGTTTGACCATAAATCCTATTTCCTTGCAAATGCTTAGGTATTAGGAAAGCAGGGGCTAAAAGTCCAGGCCTCAGTTAGTAGTCAAGAAGCACCTATTCTGAGATGAATTATGTGAGAGATAAAAACTAGAATTTGCTCACATGATCTTTTCACAGAATCCTGTTCAGCCAGTTTTTGGTAAGATTATCTAATATTATCGTGATAACTTTGCTTTGTTAGTTTGTTTCTACTTTCTTCTCTAACTCCTCTTATTCTTCAAAAGATGGTCTCTAGGTCCTATTATCAGATCATGGCAGACTCTCTTCTCTTGGCTTTGTAAAAGGCTAAAGCAAAAGGCTTTACTAAATACCATCATCAAGTTGGCATGGTGTGCCACTATTCACCACATCTGGAAGGAAAGAAACAACAGGCTTCATAACAGATTTTTTAGATCTGAACTGTCAATATTGGAGATGATTTGTGCAGATGTTAGAGATCGGGTACTGAGTTTTGGAAAGCCTAGAATGTCTCCTATGCCACATAATATAGCAGCAATTTGGGTACTAGAAATCCTTTGTACAGACAGATTTGATAGTTAGTTACATTGTTCTTTCATTTCTTTTGATTGATTCATTCATTGTATCCACAGAACCCAGTAGCAACCTTTTGTGTGTTGCTTTGTATCATTGAGTTTTAGGTAATAAATTTACATTTTACCCAAAAAAGGTCTCTAGATCCATTTATGTTTGGAAAGTAGAGATATTAAGGGAAATTTTAAAATTGAAGGGATAAAGTTTCTTCTTTTTTTTTATTATTATATGTTCAGCTGACAAATCATGGTCATTCTAACTCTATCATCTATGACTAGCAGAAATGACTAGGAAAGTAATTGAAGAAACTGCAGCTGTGGTTTTCAGGCTCTATTATGACCAGCAGCACAGGTGTAAATTGTTGTGAATCTCAAAATGTGATTATATGGAAAATTCTTTTATCCAGGTATGAATGGATGAGATTGTGCTGCTGAATATGAGGAGTGGTTTACTTCCTAAGTTATGTTATGTTATGAATTCTGGGAAAATGTTATTAAATGAAGTGAAATACAGTGAAAAGAAATCTCTCTTTCGTCTCCTTGTTGAAGACTGAAGTGTTCCTTAATCCTTAATCATCCTGTATGATAGGTAAATGCAGTCATCTTGATTCTGCTACATTGTGCTAAAGTCAATCCGTTCTTTGGCATAATTAGACATGTGGATCCACAGTGAATTGTCAGTAATCGATCAATATATAAATAATATAAATCAATAGGACTTCCATTGCTTAATTAGAAAATAGTTGCTGCCTACATCATCCATGCTTGATTTAGGAGCTTCATCATCTTTGAGGCCTTGTGTACTGACATAATATCTGAAATGGAGTTCTGATATAAAAGGACGGATTTTACACCAAGTTAAGCTCCGAAGTGAAGACAGAAATAGCACAGTTTTGTAGTTCACAACTTTGTTAGGTTTTATTTGTGACTGAGGGATGACCCAAATTTTTCTATGTGAACTCCAGTCTCTTTTATTATCGCCCCTCGAAATCCCTGTAGGTTTAATTGATCTACAGGTAAATGTTGATTTGAATTTGGTTTCATCATATCTTTGATTCTAATTTAAAATTTTTGTTCTGTTTCAAATATACTGTTTTGACTTACACTTCTACATGTTTCATAAGGTGGTCACTAACTTTCTATGTCAGCGCATCTAGCTAGCTCAAAAGAATTTTTGAAATGATCAATATATAGCAGGAAGCCATGGACTATTAATGTTCCAGGTTCAGATCACCTTGAAATGTAGAGCCATGTTTACAATGGAGTTGTAGGAGGCTCCTTTCTGTAAATAGGTCCCTCCAGTGTATGTAGTTTTGACATGCATAAAACTTAAAAGAGGAATAAAGTTATTTTTGATACTGACAGGGAAACCGTTAGAATATTAGGCATATAGTAGCCTATATAAATTATCAAATCTAGAAAGATTTTGTATCATGACGTTGGAAAGAAAGCCTTAGTTATTTGTTCATTTTAAGAATTCATTAATTAGTTTGTAGAGGCCAGGGTAAGTTGTTAGGTGAGAGAAAGAAGGGGGTGATTATACCTACCCTTTGATAATTGGAAGTCTGAATATGCTGTTAAGGTGTTTGTAATTTTACTGCTCTCTTTGACCCAAGCCTATCTGGTAGAAAATACTGCCTGCCATCACCGGATCACCCTCATTTATTTGAGCAAGAATAAAGTAGTTGATGTGGTGGCTATTTCCAACTTTAGCCATCGAATATGATATTCTTAGAAAATTAATCTTATAACTCGAAAAGATTATGCTCTGGGGATAAACATGAATTCTTTTTTTTCTTTTTTCTTTTTTACATTATCTGTTCAGATGGCTACTAAAGTCTGTAGATTTTGTTTGAGGATGATTGTAACTCTTCTATGTGCAATAAAAAAGCATGCACTTTTGTTTCTTTTGAACTGAATTATTTGTATTTAGATTTCATTATGCTTATTTCTTGAATGCAGGGAAGTTCACAAAGAAGAGACAGGATTCAGAAAGAAATTTGTAGGCTCCTCTTAAATGGTAAAAATTTTCTTAGAAACCATAGATGCAAACCTCATATCAGGATTGACTCATATTTGGAGGATTTCACCCTTAATATCTGATTTTTGTCCTAATTCATTGCTGTGCATAATTAGTTTAACTTTTTTAATAGAACATGGCATCCCACTCATTCCTTCTCTGAAACTTTTTCTACAGAAAGTGAAAAGCTTCAAAGTGCGCCCGCTCATTCCCTCAGAGAATATTTTAATGCCTGCAAACCTCATGGTTGTGGTTCTTGCTCTCTCACATGAAACCCACAAAGAACAAAAAGAAAAAAGGGCATGGAGTAGGGAAAAGGAAGCAGAGGAAGAGAAGTAACTTTCAGACCCTCCATTGAGTTGGATGCACCTTCACAACAAAACGGAAAAGGTAAGACATCACCATCTACATTGATCTCTTTCAAGAATATTAGACAAAAGACGATTCCATATCTGTCGCAGTGCATTAGGTCTTTGTCTTCATCTCGGAAGTTTCTCAAAGCCGAGAGAATGGCTTGCTTTGGCCGTCTCCAAACGTATCTTCTCTTTCTTTTTTATCCTCCATTGGTCGTATAATTCCCATCAAAAGAAGACAACTGAAGTAAAAAATGAGATCCACCAACTAATTACATCAGTTTCTAACTTCCTATGTACTTTTTCTGCAAAGATGATCCTTTTTTGTTCCTAATCAAGCGCATTCTCGTCCCCGTTCATCTTGCTTATTGACAGGGTGAAGTATATTAGCAAAATTGTTCCCACGCTCGATCTACCATGACAGAATGATAAAATCTTCAGTGTCCCTGGTAAAAAATCTCAAAATGGAGTTGAAGGCTCAAACGACTTACAATGTGGCAAAGATGAGGAGGACCCTCTTGGGGTCGAGCCAAGGTGAAGCAGAGCGCTTGAAACTGTTTCTCCTGAAAGGGAATCTGCTTTCAAAGGCGGTGGTGGTGGTGATGCCGCCGGCCATCATGGTGATCTGATGATGAACTTGTGGGCTGCAACTGTTGCTCCCTCCATGATCTACGGTGGTCCCTACCGCCACCCCTACCGGCGTTTCCGGCATGCTAGACCCTACCAAAAGAGCAGTTGCAGTTCAATAATTTCACCACCCAACACACGTATAGAATATGTTATCTTAAAAGTACATTAAAATCAACTTTCCAATAAAAAACGAGGGCAGGAATGAGAAATTCTAGATTCTTAACCAACAGTCGGGCAACATTTGACTTTCAAACACTACGAATTATTCAAGACAACATCAAAATAAGACCAAACCCTCCCAAGCATCTCAGTGGCAAACTTATTTAGACTATTATATGAACCATAATTTGGGGGTCTGCACATCTCAGTGAAATGTTCTAGGTTGTATAATGTACTTCAGAAATGGCAGACAGCAAACATGGTTTGATCTTAATTTATTCTTCCTACTGTTTACAGGAACCAATGCTCGAAATAAATACCCATGATTCCATGTACAAAATCTTATCTTTTTAGTATATATGAAGCTGTGAGGAAATTCGCAAAAGATAAAAAAATGAACAAAGTTGGTACCCTTGGTCGGAGAACAAGCAACCAAAGAATCTCTGTCATTAGCAGTGGCATTAGAATTAATCTTCTTCTCGATCCTCTGAAACCCTTTTCGAGAAAGGCTTCTCTGTAACTTTTTTTTTTTTATATAAAAAAAATGTGTTAAGATCGAAGAAAAGCTCGAAAGTATCACCATTTTGCACATGAAACTAAGAAGAGAAACTTACTGTAATTCTTGAATTTTGATTGGTATCCTTGTTGGGACCATGGGAGAAGCTTTCCATGTCAATAACAACGCTATCTGATTTATCTTGATCCGAAACAGAAATTTTTTGAGGAGTCATCTTCTCTTCTGAGCCACTGGACTCTAAACAAGAGGCTAAATTCTATCACCGAAATGAAGAAGAAGAGGCGAAGAGGTGAGAACAGAGTTAATCCATCATGGAAAGGGACATAAATTGAAGAAAAAGAAAGAAGACCAATAGAACAGTGAAGAAAAAAAACAAATATATATATATATATGTATATATAATTATGCTTACCAGCTTTGGATTTCCTGTCATTTCCATTGAATTTTCGAGAGATAACGAGGGAGTGGAAAGCAGGGGAAAGTGGGACTAGATTCTCTACAGTGTCAAGAATTGCGTACCGAATTGGTTAATTTCCTCATCTACCGCCTGATTGGAAGCAAAAGGGAAAAAAATGGATAAGTCAAAAGCTTGAGGATTTTCTTCACGAATAAACTAGTCTGGAAAATCAAACAGATCCTGCGAATGGAAAGAACAGGGGAAGAAAAAAAAAATTCAATAAAGAAGAAATCACAAACCTTGAAAAACTGGAGATGGGATGGTGTTTGGTAAGCAGGAAAGTTGCACAGAAGAACACCCGAACAGCCGAACAGGGTCTTACAGATTCTGGAATTTGTTAAGAGTTTTGGGGAAGCAGATGAAGGAAAGGGAAAAACAGGGGAACGAAATTCTGTCGAGAGGAAGAGAATGTCATTATCTGTGCAAAATCTGTGAAGAAAAAGGAACCAGACTGTGTTTTGGAACAGCACAAGCTTTTTCTTTTTTATTGTCAGCCATTTATTTTTTTAAAGTATTTTTCAATTCCATTACACATTAAAAATACACACATTGAAAATTTTAAAATATTTTTAATAAAATTCTTCCATTTATTCATGCTTTAATTGTAATTTAGTATTTTAGTGACTGAATTGCATGTTAAACAAGTATCGTGTAGATGAAAAGGAAAAATGATTTTGTTATTTAAAATATTAATTATTTTTTATTTATTTTAAATTTATAATATTTAGTATATTTATTAATTTTATAATATATAACATTTATATAAAAAATTATATACAAAATTATCTCCCTACCATTGTTACGATGAGAAACATAAAACTCTTTATTTTATTTTGGTGAGTTATTAAATAAGATGATTTTATAAAATTTTTACTATAAAATATAAATTATGGTAATATCATTAGAGGGGAGATCAGGTGAAGTTGGGTCTATGGGAAAAGGTATGCACTTACGATTTATGAACTAGTATTAGTATTCCTTTTAATAGGAAAAAAATGTTGTTTATCTATATTCTTCAACAATGATGTAATAATTTGCTTGTTTAGGATTATAAATTTGGTAATATTCATCTATTTTCGGAATAAAATAAAAGTATTGTGATGGAGAAATCAATTCTTTTCTAATAATGGTCTCTTTGGTTGCTTTTTAATTTTTTATTTTTATTACAACCCATTGGTTGCTTTTCAAAAAATGATGTATAGGTGAAAAATCACAAAATTATTTGTCAAGTTGGTTCTTCCTAACGAAGTGGGGAAGAAAGTTTAGTCCCAACCTCCCTTCCCTCTTATCGCTTCCCCTTAAGCCTTCCACTCTGTATCCCCACTCACATATTCTTAATTTCTTTTGTCATTGCTTAAGTTTGTCTCCATTGGTTTAGAGGCTACCCTCGAGCGTTTAATCTCGTCCTTACGTTGCATAGGTTTTGTCTCCTCTGGCAACAAGTGAGGGTTTTGGTGTTTTTTTTTTTGGAGGGGTGGTGGAAACTCAATTCTTCAAATATTTTTTATAAAAAAAAATGGTTTACCAGCGGCTCAAGCTCTAAGTGTGATGATGACCAATTTGAATTTATGCTTTTTACATCAAATGAAGCTATAATTTACTTGTTGATAACGTTAAAGATGCGTATTAAGTAAGAATATCTTTTACCAAAAAATTTATTAATAAAATCTGCCTCACAAGTGGGGTTGAGTTTGCTTGAGCACATCATTTTCAAACTAAGAGTACAGATAATGCAATTCAATCAATCATAAGTTAATTAGCCAAAAAAATCAATCATTTTGAAATTTTATGAACTGTTATCATGAATTCATTGATTGAACCCATCGTTCCTTTTTTTATTGATTGAATCATTCAATTGTGTCTTAACCATAAAATATTGTTGAGTATAGAAGAAATAAAATATTGCTTTCAACTCAATCCTTGTGGAATATATATATTTTATTTTAAATTATACAATAATAAATAATTTTTTTTATTTTTTATTTTTAAACTTATTTTACATATATATGTCATACAATTTGAATTAAAAACATTTTAATTTTATTAAAAGGAAAATATCGTGGAACCACTTGGTAAATTTTCAACATCTTAGAATATATTGTTCATTGACAAATTGTAAGTATAAAAAATTTGTATTTGTAAGTATAAGATAAAATAGGGTTAATTTAACAAATCATTTATTAATTTTTATATTCTTTTCAGTTTTGTCTATTATCTTTAAATTATTCCAATTATGTTTATTATCTTTCACATCCATTTTAATTTTATCTAATCTATTATCGTTAATGGAAATCTTCTTATATATTTTATAAGAAAATATTTAGTTCTCTAACTATATTTTTTTTTATTTTTTAGTCCTTAAATTCATTTTCACCGTAAAAATAGTTTTTATTCTTATCTTACTAAATGTGCTTTTCAAAAAACTATTTTATAGAATGGATTGCGTATAGTCAGTTCTGTAAAATTATTTAAATGCCCTTAATTTTGTTTTTATATTATTTTTTTAAAGATATTTAAATAATTTTATAGGATAAACTGCATAAAGTCTACTCCATTTATAGAATGAACTGTGTACAGTCTACTCTGTAAAATTTATTTACTTGTGAAATTTCTCATTCTAAACTTACTAAATTTCTTTATTTGAATTGAGCTAATTGCTCAAATTTATTATAAATTCTAATTAATCTCTCTCTATAAAGTATTTATTGAGTTATCATATTTTATTAAGATTATAGTGTTATTTTTTTCAAAACTTAAGGGATTACTTTTTTCTGTTAAATCTAACAGAAATTTTATATAGTAGATTATTTTAAAATATTTTTAAAGTTTATAAACCATTTAGAAAGAAAATAAACTTTCTAGACTAAAATGAAATTAAACTAATAATTAATAGACTAATAATTGAATTAAGCAGATAAAATATGTGCTAAAAACCTGCTTCTAATAATAAGCCGCAGGCTAAAAGCCATTTTTTTGCTTGGTGGCAGACCTAGAAAAATGGTATGGTTATCTGTCATTGATTCTTGTCTCAATGTGTATCTGGACCCTTTTCCCTATTTAAAGGGGAAAAAGAATCTAAGTTGTAGTAAGATATTAATTAATTAATTAACTTGTCACTCACATTGAAGCATTACAAATTAATAAGACTCTTTAAATTGATATTTTATGTTGAGATTTAAAATATCAAGAGATGAAGTGGTAATTTTCGTTGAATGAAAGTAAGAGAATATTTGGTTTGAAAGAAATGGAGAGAAGGGAAGGAGATGGATGGGTTTTTTTAATAAATTAAAGTATAGCATTTTCAAATATGGTAGGTTGATTGGTTTAAAATTTTATCTATCTTTTACTCTTTTTCTCCTTTCTAAACTAAATATATTTTTAAAAAAATAAAAGATTTGAATCATATGACATGTAAATATAATAAATTTTTTTTCCATGTATAGAGAACATTAAGAGTTAAAATAAACAGTGAAGATTATTAGAGAACTTTAATTCATATTTTACTTTATATTTTTTAATAAAAATATTATATAATTTAAATTACACTAAATTATGTAATTCTTATCATTAGATAAAAAATAAAGATTTAATATTAAAATTATCTCTTAATCTAATTATTATTAGTTTACAATTCAACCCACAAAGTAGGAAGGTCAAAGCACTTGATGGTAATGTCATTGTTGAGAACCCAGACGTTTGTCTCAAAATAACTAATTTTCATGGTAGTTTACGCCAACTTGTGACAAGGGAAATTGATGGAAGTTTACGCCAACTTGTGACAAGGGAAATTGATGGAATGTAATTCACCATATATTTACAAAAATAGGAAAATATCGACTGTCCTATAGCAGGGTCTGTCGTTTTTGGCTTTCCTTTCAGTTTCCATCTTATACATAAAAAAATAATTGATATATTATTTAATTTGATATTTTTTTTAATATTTTTTATAATTTAATTATTAAAATATAAATTAATTTAATCAATTTTTATATTTTACTTACATGATTATATTCTTAAATTCATTTATTTTTAATTTTAAATTAAAAATAATAATTTTTAATAAACATATTACATATTATATTAAACTAAATAATATACCAATAAACAAAATAAACTTACGTTTCTCCCTTACAAGAAAAACTTAGAATCTAACTAGGTGTCGCCGTAAAAAACGTAAAGAAAGTAGGGAAATTCAAAATCCATTTTAGAAGAGTAGAAGACCGGGTGTCAGAAGGCGGATAAGCTAACCATAGCCCCTCGTTTGACATGGCCAAGAGTTCCGCTCACAAAAAAGTTTAAAAACTATGGGTGGGTGGATGAGTTGATAAATGATTTTTTTAAGAGATTTTTATTTTAAGTTTTAAAAATGCAGTTTCGTTAAAACTCATGAATGGAAATTTTGCCACTTATTGAGTCCTGTTCAGTTCGAATCCGCATTAATCGGTGATTCAGTAAATTCTTAATTACCGGATGATCCATATAAAAAAAAAAAAGTTTAAAACGAAAAGGGCATTTTGGAGATAACCTATTACATTACCACAGGCCAAATTTGAGATTGCAAGAGCAAGCCAGTGTCCTATACATAATTTTCTTTTATATCAGACAAAAAGAGAGGAAGAAACTAAAGAAATTTTGTGCAGAATGGGGAGACGAATCCAAAGCTAAATTGATAGCCAATCAAGATATTTTCATTTACACCAATTTGGCATCGCACTACTAGACAAGTCATAATACCGCACGGAAATCTGTTGGGAAAATGTAAAACTCATTCAGAACGTTAATATAACATCCAAAGGGGAAAGCAACGTCAGAAAAAATTATCCCAATGGAGTTAAGTATTCGTCTAGAAAAGATATACTGTATTCTGAATAAAGAATCCGTCCTATACAATTTTGGCCAAATTGGCAAGTTAACCAATTCGTTGGGATGGATGATCCGCCTCAAATAAAAAATTACTGCTAACATTTACTTGATCTTATATTGCCCGGACGGATTGTCCGTCTGAAACTTTTAATAGCACTAAGAACATCTATTAAGATTACTTCGGACAGTATATCTGTCTGGCAAAATTTTTCGAAGAAAAAATTGGACTGTCTGTCTTTAATTTATTATTATTTTTATTATAATTAATTCAATACAGTATTTTTTGGCTCGTTTAATGACATGTTATTGTCATATTATGAAAAAAAAGTCATTTTTAATTGAATTAATGGTAACATCATCATTTAATTTTTAAAAGAATAAAAAAAAATGTCTTTTAGAGTTGAGAAACAAAAACTATACTAAAAATATTTTAAAGGCCAAGAGTTTTCTAAAAAAGATATTTAGCAATTAAAATTGACATTTAACATTTATTATTAGCAAAATTATTTAATATAATTTAGATTATACCAAACTACTCAAATATAACCGTTGAAAGAGAGTTCCTAAATGTGAAGCCACCCTCCCCATTAATTGCCGCACCAAACTGCCAAAAAGAAAAAATGAAAAAAAAGAAAAGAAAAAAAGAAGCATTCTGATTTAATTAATAATGTGGATTATAATTTGTATGCCTCCCGGATACAGCTGTAAGTAGTCTTACAGCCTTATTTTGGTGGCATGTGCTGCTTGGCTGGTTTCCCCACTTCAACATGATGCAATCTATTTTGGACTTTTGGGAGCTTCGGTTGTATTCATGATAGAAACTCAGTGTTGTCCGATTATAACATACATATTTTCTATGGTTTAAGTAATGTATGATAAGGAAATTAGTGTTTGGCCAACCCCCACATTGGGAATTTCTTATTTTCTAAGTTAACTCCCTTAAATTCCTCAACAGTCGCCACTAAGGACGACAAATAACTTGCTATCATAAAAAAAATGAATATGATACTAATGATTTTGCGTGCAAAACCAAAAAAGAGAAACTGATCCAAACTGCTAATAAAACTCACAGCCAGGCGTGTTAATAAGGTAGAGATCTTTAAATGTTTGAGGGTATGATTTTTGCTTTCGCAGAAAATTTAGTCCAACTTATATTAATTCCATATTAAGATTTTTGTATTGTTATTGTTTATTAATGGTTGGTTGCTACATATATCTTGTACTATTTGATGAATACTATTTGTAATTAACTTCGGACTCATTGTGAAAAGAAGAAACTAATTCAAACTAAAAATTTTGTTTCCACGTTGGAACTTCCCTTTAACTTATGTTATCTGCCACCACAATTCGGTAGGTGCACATCCCACCACAAGGTTACCCTTGTACCTGTCTGTGGACTGTGTTCTTCTAATCCAATTAAAAACAGACATCTGTTCTTCCTTCATGATTGGCTAAGGCAATGATATTAAAGTGAAGAGTAGGATGTGGGAGTATCATTACCTCCTCCACTTTGATATCAATGACAAGGTATTAGCTAACTTAGTTGAGGGAAGAGAACCAAGGCAATGATCTCTTCAATTTGATTGCTCTGTTGGATCTGTTTTTGTTAGATGGTTCTAGGTATGTAATAGTCCAGAACTAATAATGTACATGTGGGGCACAATTGCAACAAAAACCTTTCAATTTGTACTGTAAGTTGTTTTTGAAAGGTTTTAGATTCAAATTAATTTTTCATTTTCATTAATTTTTCATTTTCATCAATTATCAAGATTGACATTTGATATCCATGGATCTAAAGTACTCCAAATTAAAAATGGAAGTTGCGATGGGCAAAAGACAAAGGACCGGACATTTTAGTGTGAATCATAAAATGACCTCTCCATAGAAATATACAGATTGGTCCTGCACATAACAAGACAAATGCGAGGTCGATTCCTCTTCATTGACAAATTGCCAATTTTCCCAAAGAGGACAAAATGTAGGGTAATCCCAGAGACATGACAAACGAATCTCTGAGTCTTCTAAATTCTTCTTCTTCATTCAAGTTTGAAGCAACCACAACTTTTCTGCTCCAAGTTTGACAGCAGAATCCTACTATGTAGGATCCAGGAAAGAAGGGGGATTGGGAAGAGTTAATACAGTATAATAATGGAAAAGAAGTGCGCAAAAAATGACAAAGTCGCAATACATGGGATTTTCATTCCACGTTTATCATCCCTTCTATTTTATCTACTTGATATATTTTCTTTTCACTTTATCCTAACAAATCTGTGTCCAACACTTCTCAAACATATCAAATTCATATGCACATGACTCGTGTCATTCATAATAAAGGAAAAACTTGCAACATGTAACATATTATAAAGCATGTGTGTTATACAGGATCAGGATCAATCAATCACCAATATTCTGGCCTGGCTTCTTGGTTTTTTTTTGCTTCTGTTCAGGGGCATTTATTCTGCAGAGAATGGGCACCATTGGGTTGATGGTGGATGTCTGGATCAGTGAACCTTTGGGGGTTTGAATAGATAGTTTCCCTTTAGCCTTTTTTGGCTGTTTCCCTTGGGTCCAGTTGCTACAAAAATAACAATGCTTAGAAGCCCGTAAATTATTCATAAAAAGACAGATATCTTACTGGAAACAAGGTCAACACATTCATATAAATTTGTTTTGAGGCTGCAGTTGATGTAGAGTAATCATGCTGCATTCTGCTAATTATTGTATTACTTTACACTTATCATGTTACTAAACTTAAACAATGGAATCAATCCTTGCTGGCTCATTGAATTTTGTTAAGAAAGCTCATGGATAGACTGAATGAAGTCAGGGATTTGGTTTATAATTTAATAATTTCTTCTGCCTACGCAATACCAAATCTCAGTGTCATCTAATGAGCCTCTTCCGGACAAGGTCAGCTAGTCTAACATGTTAGATACTGAAATTGGTCTCAATGAGGCCACCACACTGATATATAAGCAAGTCAATTTCTCTGATCATCTCTACTCTAATTTTTATAATCAAGCAGACTCAACAAACCATTTGTTTAACCATCCTAAATGGAGGTATGATCAAAGAAGGAATCCGCTGTGAGTTTGTGCTAGTATAAATTAGAGGTTACATTGCAGCAACACTCCAGGAAACAATTGAAGTTCATAATTAGCTTTGAACTTTCAAGTCATGGCTAGTCCTTCAAAGCTTTTCCTGTCCTTGTTTCTCCTTTTTCTCTTCAACCCCGCAAATGCTCAGGGGCTGAAAGTCGGGTTTTATGAAAAAACATGCCCTAGTGTTGAGCTCATTGTGAAGAAGGTTGTTGATGACACCATGTCAAAGGCTCCTTCACTTGCTGGCCCTTTATTGAGAATGTTTTTTCATGATTGCTTTGTTAGGGTATGTTAAAATGTTGGCTACACATTTTTCACTTGCAGGACAAAATTGTACATCTCCCTATGTTACTAGTTTCTAATTTTGTTCATTTTTTGTAGGGTTGTGATGGTTCTGTTCTGTTGAATTCACCTACAAACCAATCTGAAAAGAATGCATTCCCAAATCTAAGCCTTCGAGGTTTCCAAATCATCGATAGAGTGAAGTCTGCACTAGAGAAAGCGTGTCCTGGAGTTGTTTCATGTGCTGATATTGTAGCCCTAGTAGCTAGGGATGTGGTGGTTTTGGTAAGAAATTACCGTCTACCTAATTAAGTACAATTTATAGTGTACATGCATATGGTTGAGTACTAAATCTGAAATTTATATGATTCAAGCGCAAGGGACCATCCTGGGAAGTCGAAACGGGGCGAAGAGATGGAAGGATATCAAATCTAACTGACGCCTTGCTAAATCTGCCAGCTCCTACATCTAACATCTCCCAATTGATAACAAGTTTTCAACAAAAAGGTCTAAGTGTAAAAGACCTTGTAGTGTTGTCAGGTACTAATTTTTAACCCCAGTACTCACAATATTCTTGATACTAACCTCTGGCTAATTTGATCTCTCTTCTGATTCCTAATTAAGGTGGACACACCATTGGAACATCTCATTGCACTTCCTTCAGCAACCGCCTTTATAACTTCACTGGGAAGGGTATTAATAATGATTCTGATCCTACCTTGGACCCCAACTACATTGTAAGGTTGAAGGCTAAATGTAAGCCTACAGATCAGACTACTCTTGTGGAGATGGATCCAGGGAGCTTCTTGACATTTGACAATGATTATTACACGCTGGTCTCGAAAAGGAGAGGACTATTCCAATCAGATGCAGCTCTCCTCAACAATGGGGAGACTAAAGCTTATGTTAGGCTGCACGCAACTAGTCAGGGAGGTAGTTTCTTCCAGGACTTTGGTGTTTCCATGGTAAACATGGGAAGAATTGGGGTTCTTACAGGAGCACAAGGTGAAATCAGGAAAGTTTGTTCTAAGGTTAATTAAGGGGCAGAATCTGAACGCTTGAAGAGAGTTGCAAAATCCAGAATTGTTTCTAAGTTTGAAGAGTCATATTCTCAAGTACACATTCCTCGTGGAATTGTATGAACGAGTGCTGTCATTTATTTACCATTTTGTGTTCATTTTCAGAGTGGGAAAGGAAAATAATGAGGCTTTCAATCTTGTGGATTTACCGTTGAGAAATAAAAAAACATTGAGGTTGCGAACCAGATTACATTTCACTACCTCTTTTAGTAAATCGTGTTATATGGGATTTTTTTAATGGTATATTGATACGAAGACTGGAGTCTTCACATAAATTTTTTTTCTACTAAAACTATTATATTGAATAAAATTCATATTTTTAATAGTGTGAAAATCCTTTTATTGAGTAAAATGGAAATCATCTATGTTAAAATTGAAAATTTTAAAAAAATTTAATTTTCATCATCATCCTCAAAGTTAAAATATTAAATTAAATAATGTTAACAAAGTGGATCCAAGCTACTAATTTTAAAGGGTGGTGTTATAGGAATAATTTTTTTACATTATTTTTTAATACAATTTTTACGTGTTATTAAATAAATAGATGTATTTAACATCACCAATCTCACATGAATAAAAAAAATCAATTATTTAAATAACACATTAAATTATATAAAAAAATAATACAAAAAAATTATTTCAAAACTATTTTCTAATTTTAAAATCTTAATTTTGAGAATCTCTACAGTGGTGTTAATTTCTTTGGAGAAAAATACTGACGTGTTATGGATAAAAAAATGAAAAAAAGATTGGACAAGCTATAAGCCCAGCCAGCCCAGCCCTGGCAGCCCAGCCTAGCAAAGCCCAACCCATCCTAATATAAAAAATTTCAAGTGGCACAGTCGACTCCCGACTGGGCTTAAGTTGAGCGGCTCAAGCCTTAACGAAGCCTGTTATTTTAATATTTTTTATTGTATTTTTATACGTATAAAATGGATATAAGGTAGCCGTTAATAATTTTTTGTGCTGTATATTGGCATGCAAATAATATATATATATATATATATATACACATATATTATAGGTCTCCAAGATCACAGCTTCAAATACGGTGTTGGCAAGAATGGATTACTATTTTGTGTCCATTGTATGGATAACTCCATGCCTTATACCTATTGTTTTAATTAAGATATAAATTTATTTATATATAACTATTATATATTATATTTATATAAAAATTTAAATTATTTATCTTTTTAATTTAAATGATTAAAATTTATTTTTTAAATATATTTATTTAAAATAATAAAAAAACAAATAATTAAAATTTTACGTACGTCCATGTAGTATTTAAAACTTAAGAGGTACCATTATTCCTTTCTTTCTCCATGCAAAAGACTCCAAATTCTTTAACAACGATCCCTTCTATTCTCTTCCCACTGCCTTTCTTTCTCCTACATAAACACCTCACACACAATACGGTTCCCCCAAAAAATCTCCGATAAACTTTTACAATCAATTTTTTTTCCAGCCTGAAAAATGTCGGCCTCTGGCCCTGACCAAATCAATGTACCGGTGTATTCTGGCCCGGAAAAACCTGCCCACAGGCCGCAACCAGGCGGACACTATGACCGGGGCCAGCGGGCCGGCGATAGCCTCACCACTAGAGCCACCAAAGTGATGTGTGCCTTGTTTCTGTCCCTTCTTTTTATTTGTGGTATCATTGTTTTCATAGTTTGGCTCAGTTTAACCCCCCACCGTCCCCGGTTCTACGTCCAGGATTTTTCAATCCCGGCGTTGGCTCAGTCCGACGGGTTCGAAAATGCCCAGATATCATTCAACGTAACAATTAGGAATTCCAACCAACATATTCATACCTACTATGATTCCTTGGTGGCCACTGTTTTTTACCGGGATCAATCAATCGGGACGACACCGTTGTCCGGCCCGTTGGACCAGGAACCGAAGACGACATGGGTGGTGTTCGGCGTACTCGGTGGCGCGACGCTGAATGTGAACAATGCCAGGTGGACGGATTTCTTGAATGATCGGCAACAGGGGACGGTCATTTTCCGGCTGGGCATAACGTCGACCATCAAGTTTAAGGTGTCCACTTGGGATAGTAAATCCCACAAGGCCCACGTGGATTGTGAGGTGTCAGTGGGTCCCGATGGATTGATCTTGCCCAGTTCTAGGAGCAAGAAATGTAATGTTTACTTCACTTGATGCATTTCTTGTCGCTTTCAATGCCAATGTCTCTTTTTTGCTCTTATCCTTTGATTCTGCCAATTGGCTTTGGATTCATTGCATAATGACTTGTAAAGTGTATGGCCAGATTTTCATTTACCTTTATGTCCTTATTTGAATTAGTTTGTAAAAATAAATAAAAATTTTTATTTATATTATGAAAAATTCATCAGTAATTTTTATTTTCATGTTATTTTATCCTTATTTTTGAATTAGTTTGTTAAAATAAATAAATTTTTTTATTTATATTATGAACAGTTTATCAATAATTTTTATTTTTATGTTATTTTATATTTAATTTTTTTTATTTGGGTTATGATTTAAATTGTAGATATATAATTTAAATTTTAAATTCTTATTAATTGAGTTAAAAAACTTTGGCAATGAACTAAATTATAATTCATGCTTCTCTTACAAAAGCATATGTATGTGTTCTTGATTAATCATCTTTATCATGCATTCTCTCGTGGAAACTGAAAAGAGAAGTTTCTCTCAGAGACCTACTAACTAAGCAAAGGTGTTCCCTAAGAAAAGACATTGTTTCTAGTTAATGGGAGGTGATGCTGGCGTTTCCTCATTCAACATGCTCCTTTATGCTTTCCACATTGTAGAAAAGGAAAGCTCTTCTTCTTAATCGCTCTATATATGATGCTTGAACAAACTTATGTTCATCAATCCGATTTAGTCTTAGATCATTTCTCCAAATATGAAATCTAGGGAAACTTCTCAATCGGAAAGATATTCCTGCCTTCTATGGCTTCTCCAAGTCATGTTCGTGTTATGTTTCATCATAGTTGTGATACGGCTATGCTTAACCCCGAAGCAGCCAATTTTCATGGTAGCAGACGTCTACATCAAGCCGGCATTCAACCATAGCTGGAATTCAACACTACAACACAGTGGAGCTGCCTCTAACGTGACCTCGGTTGTCATCATCCTCAGCCTCGAAATTTCCAACCCTAACCAAAGAATAGGCTTCATCTATGAAGATTTCCATGTAGCCTTGTACTTCACAGACACGGTTATGATCGGCACCAGTTCACTTCCAGGTTTCTATCAAGAGCACAGAAATGGTAGTTCTATTGTACGTGAAGTTCAAGTGAGTGTTAAGCAGCAATCTTTGCTAGGATTAATTACTGGGAGGGGGTTTCATATGAAAGTTTACTTGGAAACTAAGGTTCGGTATAAGATATTCAGATCAAAGACAAAGCATCATCTAATGGGGTTTGAAGCATATGTGCCTATTGGTTCGGATGGGAGGATGTTAGGAGAAGACATAAAGCTGCACCTACAACCACACTCGACCATGCTTAATCTGACAAAACATGGAAATTAAGGTCTAATTGATAGTCACATACACGCATAGGCATGTACACACATGTGAGCATGCATGTAGGTATGCCGCTCACATAATTTTCTGAATAGTAATGTAATTTGTTATTGGAATTTTGAATAATTTTGACAGCAGTTTATTAAATTATGCCGTTAAAAGAATCGAAGCCGTTCCCAAAACGCGATGGTAACATGAGCTAGTCAAAAATAATATTCCCTGCTTAAATGCCAAACCAAAATCTCAGTACTTCTTTAACCTTTGTTCTCACTCAAACCATGATTCTCATTGCCTTCCAAAAGGAACCAAAGTTCTTTAAAAAGATTGGAGGCCATGAACCTCCTCTTGTTCTCTCCCTTAAAACAGCAGAATCAATAAACAATGTCGGAAGAAGAAAGAAGCTGTGCATTATGGTTTCTCCAAGTTGCTGGCCTCTTGATCTTTCTAGCACTCTGTATTTTCCTAGCCTTGCTTGCTAAAAGTCCCACCTTCACTATCCTGGATTTCTCCATTCCTACAACAAGTAATTGCAGTATTAATGAAGAATGCGGTGATATCATCATACCATATTTACTTGAAATCAGAAATCCAAACAAGGACTCTGATATCTACTATGATGATATTTCAGTGATGTTTTATCATGAACAGGATGTAGTTGGGAGTAACACTATCCCTTCTTTCCATCAAGGAAAGAACAAAAAGAAGAAAGTTTCTTCCAATGTTAACGGTGATCCTCTTGTCTGGAGAACTCTTCGCAATGCAATGTTGAATGCAACAGCAAAACAACTGCCTAAGCTGAATGTCAATGTCCTAACGAAGATCAAGTATAAAACATGGGGCAAATTCAGTAAGCATCATGGGATACACAAGCATGCGAGTTTCACTGTTGGGAAAGACGGAAAGATACCAGGCAAAAAGAAGATTAAGCTTGTTCGAGCATCCAAGAAAAGATAAATTACTTGAGGGCTGCTAGATTTCTACTTCAGTCATTTGTTATTTCTATTTATCTTTGTGATTGTGTGTACATATTTTTCTGATAAAATCTGTGTATATTTGTTAGTCTACAAAGGAAACAATGTATAGCATCTCAATCAACAGGTAAGTATCCATAATATTGCCTCTGTTAATGTAGGTATGTAGCATTATTTTTATTTATACAAATGTAGGGTTTTGTTCCCCTCAATTGCAGGATTTTGTTGAAGCTGATAAGATAGGGATTTCTTTCCCTTGTAACGTAGTTTTGTAATAGATTTATGAATCATTTCATATCAAAGTCAAACAAACAAGAAGTTAAAATTAAAGACAAAATTCCTCTGTTTTCAATAGATGAAATAAATGAGCGAAGACTAAGTCATCTAACCTAAAACTAACTGGCACCAAAATGACAAGGAGTCAACCAAACTTTCAGATGCAACTATGATTTCAGTCTATGAGGGTATTATATGGAAATACCTTAATATTGATTTGACCTTCCAACTTTTAACTTCTCCCCTTGCTTGAAATCCGACATTGGATGGCAACTTGTCTTCTCCATTTGTAAATTGGTACCTGCAAAGGAACCCATTTAATGGCAGGTAGTTTGGCAAGAAATGCTAAAATTTTAATACACAAATATATGAGGTATATTGAGAATGTATAAATTCTTACAGCAGGGAAGCCACCATAGTCTCCAGGGTCTCTGATGTCCTTAGTGACACAACTATTAGCAGCAAGTCGAACCTGCAACCCTCACCAACTTGGCTTTGTTAACAACAAAACACAATAGCATTCAATGCAGATGCAATCCACTAAACTGAGAGACTGAAACATTGGTTACATTGATTGATTTCAAAAAAAGTTCAGTAAAAGGTCAAACTATTTGAATGGTTCACATGCTAATATGATGTTTTAAGTTAATGAATTATAAGCAAATTAAATGCCACATCGTTTACATTCAAATTTCATAGTGACTTATCTCTGGTCATGGTCAAGTAAATACCTTTGATGCAATAGAGACATGGTCACGAACTGCTACCCTTCCTCCTAGTGTGACATAGTCACCTATCCTGTTCTAAGACAGAGAAAATATGCAACAATTAGGAGGTTACAATAGAATGAAAAACAAAGAATGGAAACAGTAATGATAGCATACGTCACTGAACCAGCTATCCCTACTTGGCCACATAGCATGCAACTCTTGCCAATAATTACGTTATGACCAATCTGCAAGGCCCTGTAGTTTGGTAAGATTACATCACAGAAGATGAATATTCACAAGGCAAGAAAGTAAGATTACCTGAACCAAATTATCTATCTTTGTATGATCTCCAATTACCGTATCTCTCCAACTGCACAACCAAAAAGGTGACATTACCTTTATTTAACATTGGACAGCCAACAATTGGAAGGTAGTTTATTAATTCACGCACACATCTATAAACTTCAGCAAATATCCAAAGAAGACACACCTGCCTCTGTCAATGCATGTATTAGCACCAATCTCAACGTATCTCCCTATCATAGTATTCAGCATCTGAGGAAATGACATAAGGAAACAGAAAATTGTAAACCATCTCAGTTATGTAACCCAAAACAAAAATATCCAGAATACCTATTTTGCTTTTTCTCTTAAAATTCTATAAAACCAAACCAGGTCTACTCACCAAGAAAAGAACACAACAACAAACCAGGTCTCTGTTAAGGAGCTTTGGCAGTAAATTTAGAAATGTAAATTATCTGGCAGCTTCAGTATTTTAGTGTGTAGCGAAAGATTAAAATAGTTTTGGTCAGGATGTTTGATCCATGATAAACCATGTAAGATATATACTAAAAAGATTGATTTTGTCATTAAGATGCATCAAATGGTTCCTAGGGATATGATCGTATTATGAGTCATCTATAAATGTTTTCCTTCATCCTTTGTTCAAAATACAAATTAAATATGCAATCAAGCAAACAAATGATGGTTCAAATAAAGGAACTTGAGAAGCAAAACTTAGAGTGTCATATTCTGAAAAAGAGGCTTGAAATGAAACAAGTGCGACTGACCTGAGGTTTCTTCACCACATTGCCATGATCATCAACAAAAAACCCAAATCCTGCAGACAAATGAAGTGACACGGCTCAGCTTTAGAAGATTAAAGTTCAAGTCTAGCAAATGTACATTTTCAACATAGATTCCATGGATAAGGATGAATATTATATGCTTAAATGAAATAAACTTATATGCAAGAAACATCAGCAGAGTAGCACTGGCTAGAGTTTTGTATACAGGAGGCAAGCATCAAGGTTTTCTATCTTCAATGTAGACTTTTGAAAAAGAGACAGACATGATCCGTTATGATAGATATTGACTGTATGTCAACTTAAAGCTGATTAATGCTGTAAAATGATTGCAATAAACCAATGGATATTAGGCATAATATGTTTAGCAAAAAGTCAAGTTATTGCAACTAAGAAATTTACTGATAAATCATGCATAGATCCGTAAAATAACAAACAGAACTTGACAATGCAACCAATATGATGCTTCTTTTTAATAACAAAATAATCCAGCCTTACCATCTTGACCAATACAAACTCCACTGTGGATTACACATGAATCGCCAATGCTGCAGTTGCTTAGTGCAGCATTATACCTGGAGAGACATGGTAGATTCATGAACAGCTACAAGAAGTAAATGTTAAAATAGCTAAGTAACATGCTTTAATTTAAAGAGTCTCCATGAGTTCATTTGCAAAACAGAAAAACCATACACAAAAACAGGTTTGATTGGGCATACACAAACACAGTAAAATGTTACTACAGGAATAGTATGACTTCCTCAAGGCTGCAAACAACAAAAACAGAAAAAGAGAAAATCAACAACATCTAATAGTGTTGGCCATCAATTTACCAACACAATGCAAGTTGGTCCAGAGGGTGAGGCACTAGAAGGTAGAGTAATCTTAAATGGTCTGTGTATAACTAACTCAAGTGCATCAAGAAAATAAAATTCAGCCCATAATTCATTGAACTGAAGTCCCCAATCTAAGCACCTACTCAAGTGTTTAGACAACAGTTCTTTTACTTGCATGATAATACCCAAGAAAGAGAACCCTTTATTGCATAAATGCTTCATAGCAATGAAAAATATACAATGAAACAATCATAGATAGCTGAAGTAAAGAAGAAACAGCATAAATTACTCATAGTGATACAATAAACAGTATATGAGTGGAGAGACTGCTACAACACAAAGAAATTAACATACGCAATCTTTGTAGATCGACCAATGGTAACAGCGGGTCCGATAACAGTTCCTGATCCAATATGAACATCAGCACTAAGAACACATTTTGAATGAACTATCGCACCAATCTCAATGAATGCCGTTGGATCAACTCTGGCCAACTTGTGAAAGATCCCACCCCCATTATGCCATTTCAGAAACTCTTGGTTATCAATCCCAGCTCCATCCTCTACTCTTGATATTAAACATAAGAAACAAGTCCCAATCAATGCCTAATCGCACCCAACCTACTCACAGACATTTTAACAAACACATGGGCTGCTCTATTAAAGCAAACTTGAACGCAAGCGAGGGACTTACCGGAGTTAAAGGGGCTGACTTGGACCTTACCAGTTGAGGATAAAGACGAGTTGTAGCGGGCGCCAAAGCCTGAAAGGGAAAAGGCGCAAGAATTTTGAGCATGTGAATGCTTGAAAATCAGACTAGACATGGAGCTGAAAGATTTCCTGACAATAACTGCCATAACGACCAAGCAAATTCTCTGAACATCTAAACCCAAGGAAAAATTGGAATTTGGGGGAAA